CTTTTAAATTTGCTTCAGTATGTATCAGATTTTCGAAATAGGTTGACTAATGTCATGTGAGTTAGCTAGGCTTAATTTAAAATCAACACAAAGTAAAATGAAATCAAGGTATGATGAGAATGCTCAGGAAAGAAGTTTTAACCCTGGTGATAGAGTACTTGCTCTTTTACCTATACCTGGAAAACCATTACAGGCAAGATACTTTGGTCCTTATACTATTGAAAAGAAAGTCAGTGACCTTAATTATATTATTAATACTCCTGGGAGGCGAAAGCAAAAACAAATGTGTCACATAAATATGTTAAAAGAATATTTTGACAGAGATAGCAAAATTAGTAAACCTATATCTTTTGTAAACTCTGTTCCACAAAATCAATGTTCAGTTGAATCAAATAGTTATGAAAATTTTGAAAAGTCTGATCCTGGTTCAGCGAAGCTTGAAAACTCTGATATTCTGAAAAATCTGGATGAAAAACTTGCTCACTTAGAACCGTCGAAACGAGATGAACTGAAAAAGCTTATTTATGAATATGAACACTTATTTCCTGATATTCCCACACGGACTGATAAAATACATCATGACGTCATTCTTGAAAACTCTGAACCAATAAAACAACATCCATATAGAACAAATCCTGTAAAACAAAAGTACCTAAGACAAGAAGTTCAGTATTTATTGGATAATGACTTTATTGAACCAAGTCAAAGCAGTTACAGCTCTCCATGTATTCTTGTACCAAAATCAAATGGAACATATAGAATGTGTACAGATTATCGTAAAGTGAACTCTGTAACAAAAACTGATTCATTTCCTATACCAAGAATTGATGACTGTATTGACAAAATTGGAAAAGCAAAGTATGTAACAAAGTTTGATCTTCTAAAAGGATTCTGGCAAGTTCCACTTACTGATAGAGCTAAAGAAATATCAGCCTTTGTAACACCAGACGGCTTGTATCAATATAAAGTCATGCCATTTGGTATGAAAAACTCACCAGCAACTTTTCAGAGGCTTATAAACATGGTAATATCTGGTCTACACGGATGTGACGCATACATTGATGACGCAATCATCTACTCTGATGAATGGGAGGAACATCTCAAAACTATAAGAGCATTCTTCGACCGACTTAGTGATGCTGAATTGACAGTTAATCTTGCAAAAAGTGAATTTTGTCATGCAATTTTAACATTTTTAGGACAAAAAGTACTGCGTCGTCTGCTGACTATATTTTAGAACAAACAGTTTCTACTCATATATGATAAACAATCCTCCAATAGTATCATTTACCATTGACAAAGTGAAGGAATATTTGTGATATGTGATATTAGACATTTATTACTCGTTCCAACTTCACATTTTTCCCTACATTTCCTTTCTTTTTTTTTAAACTTTATTGGCTGTTAAGATGATTTGTGTATCATTATAATATTTTTTTTACTTTGCTCCAAAATTTATTCGGCAAATATTTGTCTAATTTATTTGAAGTGTCTTTTTTATTATAGCTTATCAATCTCTTTTACTTTTAAAGTCCCTTTTATATTGTTCTTTGGATTTATTTTTAACATATTTATTTCTTTTCTAGCGCTATTACATTCTTGTTTAAACAAGAACTCCCTAACTTTATTTCTACTTGAATATGCATACACTAGGTAAACAATATTCTTCCAGATTTATATTAAGCTGCGATAAGTTTAACATTTTTTTATTGTAACATATCAACAATTTTCACCACTTAATTTATTAAATGGTTTATAAAAAGATGCTTTTCCTGCATCCCATGTACAAACAAATAAATTGTTCTCAAGTACAATGAAAGGTCGAATATTCTTAAAGGGAGCCTAATCTAAACTAGATGAATAAACTTATAGTTGAGCGTAAATTGTTTTTTCCTGCATTCTCAGACTATTAAAAATAACTGGCGATGCAAACGAATCGAACTGCGAATTGAAATACCAGGACTAGCGTTACCATTCCTTGCAACACATTGTTCGTTTTAAATAAGTCTTGATTTATTAAATTTTCACAGCCTTAGAAAACAGATAAGCAGCAAATAACAGTTCAATGAGAACGGTCATTTGTCACGCATATTTCGTACTTCTCTTTTATTGGAGGATTAAGCTGGTGAATATAAATATAAAATAAGATACTTTGCACTGTTTACAGAAACATTGATTTAATTTACAAATATTCTGTTAAATTGTTATATGAATATATCATAAGTTACTTAATTAAATTGAAAGTGTGTCACTTAATTGTCATTTAAGTCATAAAGTGATAAAATAGAATGCTAACTTATAAATAAATTTTACAGACCAGTGGATTGAACAAAATATTTTGCTGAGGGCAAAAGGGCAATACAAGTAAAAACAACATTAGATAATTTGTGAATATCCGTTCCGCGTGGGCGGGTACCCGAGGGACGGATATTCTTATCTTAACCGCAAATACATTTTAGATAAAAAAATTCTTTCATAGGTGTATTCTTCTATATTCTACCATATTTGAAATGGATAACTAAAATTTTAAGAACGCAGTTTCGATCTAAAAGGAGCCGAAATGACGTCATGTTAGAGCAAACGACTCACACATGGCACCAACTTGCCAGATAAGATTTCCAGCATGGGTAAAACTGTCGGAAAAAAACAGTCTGTTAAGACTCATATTTCCATTAAACATTTTTGTACAAATAAAACAATAAATTTTCGTATAAAACTGATTATTATATACTTGTAAATGAAATATTGAGAAATATTCATGAAATTAAATGCGTATTTTTATTTTCCGTAGTTTCACTGTTAAAAATTATTTTTCATTGCAGTGAGACATATTTTCCGTATTTTCACAGGTGTCTTGCCGAACTATTGTCTTCTAAATTCAGTCAATACACACAATTAAAAGGGAATTTTTCTTATTTATAAGGTTAAAAAAAGAGAAAAAGTATATAATAAACAGAAAATTCATTTTGTTTTCTATTACACAGGATTTATTTTCATCTTGTGGTATGAAAATGATCACATTTCACTTGTGGCTACTGCCACTCGAGAATGAAATCAAATCCTGTATTTATAGAAGAAACTTGAATATCCTCTATTTTTAATGTCATTTGTTTTAATCAGATGTCATTTGTTTCAATCAGGGCAATATCTAATCTGTGTTGAAATGGCAGGAATTACGTTTAAATGCAGAAGAACATTTTTTCGTTTCAGATCAAAATCGGTACATGTGTATCATTTTAACAGTAAATACCTGTACAATTAAAACGATCCGTATGACGCGTTTAGTTTAATCTGCAGCATTTATTAACCATAGACCGTGAAGCATTAACAAAAGACCAAATGTACACAAAGAAGCATTATGTAACATATAATAAGTAGCTCTGACCATAGTTGGTCAGAGGTGTTTTTCACGGGTTTATTGGACTTGACTAACTGGGGAGAAATATTAAAATAGTGATATGGATTTATTTTTTTTGCTGCAAATAAATTGATATTTAAGGTAAGTGTTTAATGATAATTTATTTATAATAAAAACGTTAATTGTAGGTTCGGCTAAGATAACAAAAAAGGTTAATATAAACAGGTTCAAACAAAAATAGCAAACAGAAGAAAGCTATTGACATTCAGCATGAAATGGATTGTTGTTCTAAACAAAACTGAAACCTAATTTTTCTGATATTTCAAAAGTTCTTCACTTTATTGTTTTTGTCAGAACTTCTAGAGGTTATTTTAAAACTATGAAAGAAAATATTGGATTCATTTTGACCAAGAATAAAGCGGTTATAGTTGAACTTAGCTATTGAAACATAACGTTGAGCAACGCTTAAACCACATGTAGATACAATTTAATGATTGCAAATATAAGTGCAGGAATGCATCTGAAAAGACATTTTACTTACTAATAGACTGATGTCTAAATACCAATTAAATGATTTGCCGTATATGTGTATCCATAAATACTACAAGTTGTCTATAAAATGTATTACAATAACTTAAATTTACAATAACTCGGTCAATTAATAATTACTTAGTGATGTTATTGTAATAACAAAATAAAACAACAAATTGGCGATATCAAAGACGAACAAATCTATTATTTCTGACTTTCGGTTTGTTTACTGCCGCATTTCGGTTGCCCACGTTGGCGACGTCTTGAAGAGTAGTTGCAGTTTTCGGTTAGGTAGGGAACGGTTATAGCAGTTGCCCCGACCTTGAGGCGAAACTGGTACTTTTACATACCTAGAGCATTATATGGGGCCTCAGCATGTATTGGTTTTCTGAATTGGGCATACCACCTCTGTTCTTCAGGTCTTGTAGACGCGAATTAGTTCGTGCTTATGTTTTAGTGATCCCAATTTCGGGTAGCTAACTTTATTCTTTAAATATTACCCATAATCATCGTATGAAATTGTACATCATGGTTAAAAAATGTATTATAAGTAGTGATATGGACTATTTTAGCCACAGAGCATGAGTTTCGTTTCTTTACCTTCGCCACCGGAACGGACTATTGCTCCTGATTAATATGACAGTTATGAATGAAAACAAGTGCTTGGACACGTCACGGTCATCCTATCAGAGAGTTACATCTGTCCTAAGGTACTAAAACTAACAATACATGTGTATAAATAGATTTATTGAAGTGTTACACCTTTTGTATTCTGAAGTATTGTCCAGTTTAACCGGCGGAAAATATTGATCCCCTTTAACATTAACAAATGTTTTCTTTCTAAACTAAAGAATAGGTCAACGTTATGTCAGTGACTATACCACTGACCAGAGATATTCAACACTAACAAACTGAAAATTGTATATTAACAATAAGGATTAAATAAACGAATTATAGAACGTTTAATAAACGCTAAATCGCTACTTAAAAATACATTTTGTTGAACACAATAGTTTTTGTAACGTTTTACATTTTTCACCAGTCTGTTAAACAGTTTGTATGTTTCCTCCCGACAACAGAGAACGAAGTATTTTTTTAATTGATGTATTTTTTATCCTCGTATTTAAAGGCACATTATGCCGCATAAATGAATATTTGTTTTTTTCCTTCTGTATAAAGGGCAAATATGTCTGTCATAATGTAATGTTGTAATAATAATAATAGAACATGTGAGATGCTAATCACCAGAAGAAAATAGCGTTAAATGTGAAATAACTCGTGATAAAGGTAGCAATATGTATACAAAGTGGTATTTTGACTTTCATACAAAATACTTAATCACTAATTGTACTCATTACCAAAACGTAAAAGCTGTAAAAGATATCTCAGCTATGTAACCAATAACGTGTTTTTTTGGGGAAACTTAAACAGGACATAAAAAAAGCTTTTGGGAAATAAAACGATGACATTTCTGAAGCATAATGGGCCTTTAATGTTCCACTAGCGTAATAATAATTATGTCATGGCAGTAATAAAACGATGGAAATGAATCCCATTTAAAGTAACTTCGTTATATGGTATTTTAACATGTAATTGACAGAACATTACATAATTATGTCACTTTTAGATAAGTGCTTTAAAAATTCTATTAAGTTTGTGAAACGTTTAAAATTTCATTTTTAAGAGCCTTTTTATCGTTACAGTTTCTAAAAGTTTACTTATCGAGCATGCAGCTGAGGAGTCTTTTGCTTCTTTTACATTCTTATTTTTAAATAATACTTTGTATAAGGATTTAGTATTTTGTATGTAAGTCAAAATACTACTTTGTTTACATTTTCCTACCCTTCTCACACATTATTTAACATTTTATTTTCTTTCAGTACTAAGCACAGTTAAGACGGGGGTTTTAATGCATTTTTAATTTTAATTTAGTCCTTTTTAGTCGTTTCGTGGATTTTATTTTTTTTCTTGTAAACGGCCCTGGTGCGCAGAAACTCAAAAGGGGTGGGTCCGTAAATTTTTGGTTTTTTAAATGTTTGTAAATCGACTAAAATCGGGCAACCTGATTATTTTTTTTTCTTACAAATTTTAAAACTTTTTAAATACTTGTATGGTTATATGTTGGTAAAAACTCCCGATCAATCACCATCTTTTTTGAAAGGGGGGGTTAAGATAAGATACTAGTGAAAAAACATTTATTCATGTTTTGAAATTTTTACTAAAAGGGTACCTTGAAGGTAAAAAGGGTTTCCGATCAATAATTTTACCAGGTCCAGGACCCTTGGCTTCAAACTGCATAGGTTTCTTTGGCCAGTAGATGACCCCTACGAATTTTGGGATTTGAGGGTCAAAGTTTTAGGTCAATTGACCTTATGTCAAAACAGTTTCCTATCAATAAACTCGACAACCCATGACCTTGACCTTCAAACTTACAAATACATGTCATTGGTCAAAAATGACCTCAATGGGTTTTTGGGGGTCAAGGGGTTAAAGAGGTAAAATACATAGACCTTATAGGTAAAACGGTTTGTCTGTCAATATTCTTTCAACAACTCATGGGCCCATTTGCCCTTCAACCTTCCACTGTGCATTTGTCTTGGCCAGTACTTAATCCCCTTTGAATTAAGGGGTCAAAAAGTCAAAGTTTCATTGGCCTTGTACGTTAAAAAGGTTTTCGACAATAACTCAACAATTTTAGTTCACTTGACACGTTGATTTTTTATTAAACTAAAAAATGCTTTTACATTTTGGTCTTTGGTATTAACCTAAAAAAATTATGTCATTAAGGAGGCCTACATGGATTCATAAATTTTATGCATATATTTTTTGGTAAAATTTGTTGCAACTTTGTCCATAAAAATTGGGCTTGTACACGACCTTTTCCGATCAACAATGACCTAGTGACTATCATGACCAAAGTACCATAACCCCCTATCAAATTTTGGTCAACTAGGTTAAAGGTCCAAGTTACAATAAACAATGGCCCACAAATGACTAATTGGCTGCCCGATAGGTGGTCATAACATGTTTTAAACCAAACAAAATCTTGTTTAAAATAATTATATAGTTCCTAATGTATTATAGCAAACGAAAAATTTAATACACATTAGTGTTATAAGAATTTGATCCTGTGACCGTATGAACTAATTTTACTAAATTTCAGCATATTGGAAAAAAACGGAAATCATATTGACAGTGGAAATTTCTTTAGGTTTTTAATGACAATGCTTCAACCCCGATACCAAACAGCTCAGAAAAAAATTATTAATTTTCACTTATAGATTGAATTTTTACAGGCGTTAAAAATTGAAAGTATACAAACACTGATTAAAAACATAAAATGGGGAACAGAGGCAGAAAGTGTAAATCTTTCCCTTTATATATAAGGGCAACAATTTGATTTCAATTTAACAGGTTTAATTGTTATCCATGTTAGAAAGCAAAAATATCAACAGTAAAAAAAATCTTACAATAAAAAAAAAAAAAACCAATAAAAACATTGCCCATATTGGTAACAGTTGTTAATACCATTTCTAATAACAGGTTACAATAGGAGAGCAATAATGAATTTCAATTTCATCCCCATCCTTACATACTTGTTAGGCATTAATGTGTCATTAATGTCCAAACCCTTTTCAAATTGCTCCGTCTGTAAACAGATTAGGGTTCTACACCGCACCAACATCTTAATTTTTGCTAAAAGCAGAATTACAATGTCCATGGGGCATGACAATAATTGATAAATTTTTTTAAATGCTTAAAAGTAACAATTTAATTTCGAATAAATCTCAAATTCTTTCACCTGTACCAATTTTATCTAGAATTTACCATTTAACTGGAATAAATGGTTTAAATCCAAAAATCACAAAGAAGTTCCCTGAAAATCGTTTGTTAAAAAAACGAGTTAAAATTTGCAAAACCTTAAAATTGTGTGACAATATATTTTTAAAGCTTAAAATATAGTTTCTCATTGTTATTTGCAAGTTTACAATTGAAATTTTGAAAATTTGCGCCTAGTTCTAATTCATATCTGAATATTTCAACGCCAGACAAGTAAGCAAACATTTTAACTGTTTAAACATACCAGCCCAAACGTTTTCCCCCCAAACCCAAGAAAAAGCTTGGGTCTATTTTCCAGTCTCCAAAATATCGAAGGGGTGGGTTTTCTCTACGTTTAATACAAAAAAACTTTTTGGGGGTTCCCCCCAAAATGACCCCACATCCCTAAAAACGGGCCCATCCCCGCATTTCATAAAAAGTCATATTTTTCCCTTCAACATTAGGGGATGAGGCTTACCACCAAACGTTTTTATTTTTTTGCGGTTAGCCATTTAACTTTAAAGTTGCAAAGCTGCCCCTGCGACAAAAACCATTTACCCAAATAACTTTATATTTAGTATTTCTAAATGCTCAGTAAATACCAAAAGGTATAATATTTTCAACAATTTCCCGAATTTTAAATACCACCCCAAAATCTAAAATTTGTTTTAAAAGTAGTGTAACAATTTTTGTTTTTCTTAGGATAAATCTTTAAATTTTATTTTTCATTACATCATTTGATACCATTTTCTCATTTAATTAAAGGCCTTTTTACTTTAGAGGAAATTTAATTACCTTCACCCAGTTATAAAGAAAAAATGGATAACTTTTTTCCCTTTTTGCAAAAATCAATCCTGGGCCAAATTTTAGGGAGCCCCCATAGAAAGTATGTCAAACACAATTTTCTAAAAGTGAAGGGTGATTCGATTTGATAGAGTTGCTTTTTTTTAAAATAAAGGGTTTTGTTTTTGTTTAAATTTAAAACTATTTTTTTTAATTTCCCCTTGACGTTGAATTTTTTTACAATTTTTGGGTTTTGTTAAACTGTTTCGTTTGGAAATAAATGATAAAACCTTTAAAAAAAAACAAAAATCACCGTTGATAGAATAAGTATGAAACACAATATATCAAATGAACTGCGCTTTATAATATTATGATAACACAAAATATCAAATACACATCACCATTTTAAAATCCACAGCACGATACATAAAAGTTACCAGCACCATATATGAAAACCATAGCACAATCCATCAAAATGACAGCACCATTTGCCAAAAAGCATCTATTGACACCATTTATCAAAACGACATCAAAACTATCTAAACCACAGCACCATCCATCAAAAAGACATCACCATATATCAAAACCACAGCACCATCTATAAGAAGTAAGAACCATCTATCAAAACCACAACACCATCTATAAGAATTTAAGACCATCTATCAAAACCACAGCACCACCTATAAGAAGTTAGCAATCTATCAAAACGACAACATCATTTATTAAAACGACATCACCACTTGCTTAAACCAAAGCACCATCTGTCAAAATGACATCATCATTCACCACTGTATTAAGAAGTGTTAATAGAAGGCAGCTTTGGCGTTCCATACTAAACGTCGTAGTACCATATTGGTGTAAAGTTGTGATAATAATCGTGTGGTAACTAAAGGTGCGATGATAAAATCACATGCTGATATTATACTTTGTTTGATTATTTTAGTTCAAATGAAAGGTCAAACAAATGGTAGTGCCATCTGCAAGGTGAAATCTGCGTGAACGGAGTCAAGAATTCCAGAAGTAAGACTAGAAGAAGGTATTAACTTAAAGTTTTGTTTTATTTCAATTTAATACCTTCTTCTAGTTCCCAGTGAAAATTACTTTAACATGCGTATTTGGTAACGATTCGCATAACTGTAGCCGCTCTAACTCGGAGGTCTCTTGCAAATTAATTTGTTCGGGATCGGTAGTTAATTATGCCAAAAAGACTAGCAATCTGTCCTCGAGGTTATTCAAAACCTTTTTCTGAGCTCCGCCTCAAGTTGTAGAATCTTTATTGGTCGGGTTTATATTCTCTGCTAGTTTTTGACCAATCAAATTCTTGAGATCTGTGTTAGAAGCGAGGTTGTTCATAACACCGGACCAAGGCTCAGGAGTACGATCGACCTATGTTCGAGCGATCCGAGGTAAAACCGTATTTAATATATAGGGACATTGCAGACTGTGAGTTCTAGCGAAATGACGATCCGAGTTTGAGCTAACGAAGTTCATGCACGGAATATATCATTTAAAATGATTTCTTTCGACTATCAGATAATGTTACCCATAATTTGTTTCATCTTAATTTGTTAAGGTAATCATTCTAACATCGGCCAATATCGTCAAAAAAAGGTCATTTCCGAAAAAGTTATTTTTCACATTATTAGGTATTCAATAATTTTTAACCGTTTATATACCGAATTTAGTACATAGCGATAAAAGGATGAGTGATCGTAAATAATCTATTGCCCAAGATTTTGAAAAATTAAAGTTCCGGGTAAAAACCCGATTTGTTACGATATTGGCCGATGTTATAGTGTCTTTGGCGGGAAAGTATTATAGTAAGGCTATCTAATTTGTCACATTGTTACCTTTGTGCAAAAAATACGTATATTATGTCTGCTATAATAGCTGATACTGATAGAAACACTCATCCTAAACCACAAACGATGTATACATAAATAACTTTGACAAATATAAGTATATTTCTAAGACCGAACTACTATGTTTACTGCGTTGTCGTAGTCGTTGTTGTCGTAGAAAAAACTTTAATGTTGTACAAAGATAAGAAAGTGAGGCATACATTGATATATTTATGCCATCATAGCTTTTGCCCCCAAAAAGTCTGATGCTCTATTCTAATACCACCAGGATTTTATATTCAACGATAATTATTACTCCCCCGCCCTTGAACAGGAACAATAAATCATTTTCTACTGTCATTATTTAACTAATATCTTTTCACTTTACCACACTAAATAATTAATTAACTTGAACATATCGTTAAATGGAGACTGATAAAATTTTACATGAATACATTACAATATTTTATACATATACACCTGTCTGTTGCAATATACATTTTGATAAGCTTGAAGTGATAGACACAAACTTAAATCTATTAAAATTGTGTATATAACAAGTTATAAAAGTATTTGAATCACGCATAGGTCAACTGGAAATATATATAAATACGTTATTGTATGAACGCAGATTTAACCATGTTTTTGATTGTCCCAATAAAGTTGACAAAAGGTCCTTTGAACCTCTCTTAATTCGGCAGTTAAATTGATTACCTGTTACAATATCGGTATACATGTATATATACATTTGAAAACCAAAAACAATTCTATTTAAAAAAAGACAGAGCCATTAGTTTTTTTCCTGCTAGTAAAGCTCTTTTCAAATAGGTTCAGAGGGCTGCTAATAATGAGAAGCTATACAATAAAGAAGGGTGTCACGTCGTGTATATGAGTCGCGTCACGACAGAACCAACATAATGGGTTTGCGACCAGCATGGATCCAGACCAGCCTGCGCATCCGCGCAGTCGGATCAGGATCCATGCTGTTCGCTATCAGTTTCTCTACTTGTAATAGAGTTGGTAAGCGAACAGCATGGATCCTGATCAGACTGCGCGGATGCGCAGACTGGTCTGGATCCATGCTGGTCGCAAATGCACAATGTTGGTTCTGTCGTGACGCGACTCATATATAGATAGAGTGTATCGAAAAATATTGAAACGACCCCTTGAAAAATCATTCAATGACCACACAGGTCAACATTTTTAGCTTGACTATACGAAATATATGGAGAGCTGTCCTACTCGCCCTGGAGTCGGCGTCCGCGTCCAGATTTCAGATTAAAGTTTTTGTGCAGTACAATATTTTTTCATTCACAATAACTTTTTCATTTTTTAAGGTATCAACTTCCAACTTTCAATATATGTTACTTATCATCAACCAAATCTTATGTGTTAAGGTTCATTACTCTAGCACCAATATTTTTTTAGATCCATCTCCCCTTGAACTTAGAATTTTCACTTTTTACAGATATCACTTTTTACTGTTACTTCTTTATTTCTTAAGGGATCAACTTATTTACTTCAAATATATGTTCCTTATCGTTAACCACATCTTATGTGAAAAGGTTCATAACTCTAGCACCAATATTGCAAGAATTGTCTCCCCTTTAACTTAGATATTTTTGCTTGAAAATGCTGTTTTTAACTATAACCTCTTTAGTTTTAAAGGTATCTTCCTCAAACTTCAAAAACATATTCCTTATCATCAACCAGATCTAATGTGACAAGGTTCATAACTCTTGAAGCAATATTTTCAGATTTATCTCCCTTTTTAACTTAAAAATTTTCTTTAAGAAATATTATAACTTCTTTACTTTTTAAGGTATCTACTTCAAACTTCGAATCAAATATATATTTCTTATCATTACACATATGTTGTGTCACAAGGTCCATAACTCTATTGTGACTATTTCAAGAATTATTCCCCCTTGAACTTGGAATTTATGTTAACAATTATAACTTCTTGTCATAAGAAGAAATATATTTATATCATAATTGATTTTTCTTTCACTGTTTTGTCTTCCTTACTGCGTCCAGTATTTAATTAGTCGAGCTTCGCTGTTTCCTGTTACAGCCCTTGTTATATGATTGGTTGAGTTGATGAAAAATATTTCAATTTAAGATCCCTTATTGTCTATAATAACACAAAAATATATCTAAGTTGGTATTATGAATTAAGTAAAAAGAACATGTAGATTAGCTTAATGAGTTGTAGCGATAAACTTACTCTTTTGTTGTATCCAAACCGATATTTGCAATAGATAATTTAAATTCAACAAATTGTTAAATTGAACTTAAATTAATCAAAACTTTATTTTGGTTTGGATGCGTACACGCGTGTTGATATATTGCACGAGTTAATCAAAATAGCGTGTTGTGTTTTGCACTAATACTGTACAGCATTATTTTGTAACTGCAGCCATACGCACAATAGCCATGTAGTTAATACATGTAATACAAATTACATCTTTATGCTTAATATCCGTGACATTTATTAAAATGTACGAATAATGTATTATGTTTGACACTGTAAAACTTGTAATGAATATCTTTATCTCATTTCTAATTTTGTAAGTTGAACTATTTGGATTTAATTTCAGACTGCTCAGTGAACCAGAAAGTTGCCGAGATCAGAAGCGGCCATGACATTTCGTCAAAAATGCGTGAAACACCTAGTCATTCTTGGAGTTCTTCTGATTATCATACAAGTGCTTTTATCCAGTAATTTTAGTAAGTTAATTAACATATTACTTAGTTAAGGTTCTGTCGTACCATTTTTTTGTCAATGCTAACTTAAAGCTACGTTTTGGATTATTTAAAAAAAGAATTCCATCATGATAAATTTACTAATTAATAACCACAAAACGACTAAATAATGTGTCCAGTGATTTATGACGACTGTAAGAATTAAGCTGGCCTGTATTGCATTTACGTTTTCTGGTCTTTCGGGATCATTGTTTCCATTCCGATCCTTTTAAGTGTTAAAAGAATACTGCTAAGGCCGGTGACAGGGGGCGGCAGAGATTCTGCACATTTCATTTCTCATTATATTGAGCCTACGATTTTGATATAATACTAGTATTATTTGTTTTCATTCCTCTTGTTTGATCTTCTCTTTACAAAAATTTTCACCAACAAATATGCACTGAGACATAATTAAGATTTGCGTTGTCACCTTAAGACTAATACATTTTGACAGAACGATCTGCTGGATCATTAATAATAAATACACAAAGTGATGTCATTGTTGTTGTCGCCGTTGGGTTTTGATATAAATAAAGCGTGTATTAATTTGAAGAGACTGAAGTCCGTTGGATAGGACAAAATGTTAAGGGGAAATCTGAGCGTAACTAATTCTCATACGTGTACTACTTCTTCTTTATATGATCATGATGAGAACAGACATCCGGGCGTTACAGATCTTACACTAACTTACTCCCTTATTCCTTAATCAAGGAGTGGGTTACGATTTTAATTCGAATCAACTCTGTGTGCCCGGTCATTACTGAAATATTACTGTAAACCCCGTTATTAAAACAGTTTGTTTTCAAAACGAACCTGCGTTTTTTTTAGCCCAAATTATTTTATTCTGTGTGCCCCCTCATTTTTGAAATATTACTGTTAATTGTATTATCAAATTACATGTAGTTAGTTTTCACAGCGAACCTGCATGTTTTTCAGCCCAAGTTATTTTTATGTTTCAGCTCACGTGAAGACTGTTTACAACAATTTCACATTTTCTGGAGTACAGATAGTCGTAGATAATGTGGACACAAACGGCACCACAACTACGGTATGTAACAGTACAAAAATAACGGACATTTTCTCATCTCAAATTAATTCATAGCGTTTATTGCTGGGAAAGTGTTTAATGTTAGCAAAATAGCCAATATGATTAAGTCATTCATGTGTCCAATGCACGACCAATGTGACTTAAATCACCAGACACTAACAATTTTAACTTACAAAACCAATCCAGATTAAATAGACACGAGACCCATAAATAAAACTGTTCTTCCAGATATGTTTAAAAATAATTTAAAACCAACATTTTCTTTCTCATCATTTTGACAAGATACAGAAAGATTTACATCCCTTGAAGTACAAAATTTATTAAGTAACCCATATACAGCAATTACAGCTAGATTTATAATAATGAACGTTCGTAACGCCGATTTTCATTGGATAATAGTAATAGTTTTACGGCTGCCGTCAATTTCTTAAGAAATCATTTTCTCTAAAAATGTTTGCTGTATTATAAATTCGTGATAAATATTTCTGACAGATTACATGACCGTATATGAAAGGTTTGTTTGCGATATAATCCTCGCCTTGCGGCTCTGGTTATATTTCCAAACAACCGTTTATGTAGGGTCATATAACCTGTGTTTAGATTTGTGTTAAATTTATATAATTCAGGCTAATTTATATAGAAGTATTGTAAGTTTGTAACTTAGATTCACATATATCAAATTTATGTTACATTTACAGACTGCATAGTTCTTCATATATGTTACATTTCATGTATGTTTATGAACACATTTAATAGTAATTTATGTATGTCTTCTATACATACTTCAGAGCAAAGGCATTCATCATCACATAGGTCATGAAGGTCACAATGGGTTCGAACTCGCCGCTTCGGCACACAATGTGTGTGTCGCAAATAAAATATCGTCTTCAGGCGCAATGAAAACAATACATGCTATTCCGGGCAAAAGACTATTGTACTGTCCCATGGAAAAGATCGGGACAACGTTCTGGAGGCGGGTATTCCACATGTTAGTTGCAAGTGATCGTGCAAAATATAAACAGCCATATGATGTACCAATTCATATCGCCCTTGGACAAGCAAAGCGTTTTACACAAACAATTTCTAGTGCCAAATCAGGGAATCTGTTAACGCAGAGTGCATTTAGTTTTTTGTTTGTAAGAAATCCATATTCAAGGCTACTATCAGCCTTTATTGATAAACTTGTTCCTCCTAATCCGACATTTTGGAAAGGATTTGGCTTAAGGGCTATAGCTCAGTACAGACCGAAAGATGCTAAAGTTCCAAACGCGGGTAAAAGCTCCACACACGGAGGCCATGATGTGACATTTGCAGAATTTGTGAAATTTGTGGTGAATGCTGAAAAAACTGGTAAAGGTATTGATCCACATATAGTCAGTATAAACAAAGGGTGTAAACCCTGTACCTATAATTATAAGTTTATTGGAAGAATGGAGTCATTTAAAGATGATGCGTTCTTTATCATGCAAAAACTCGACATGAATAGAACGATTACCATAATGGAAACATCGTTTAGCGATTATACCCTCGACGATGCAATCACTGATAGTATTAGAAGTCCATTTCAGTGGAAAAAAGAAATTGTCAAATACATATCATGGGAAAAGGCTCTACACAGAATCTGGCTTAAATTACAAATGAGGGGAATAGTTCAAACGAATATAAATCTTAATATCGCGAAAGGACATTTTGACAGTGTAAATGTGAATCAGTTTATAGAAATGGCCAGAAAAGCACATAGAGAGTCGGACCCAGTAGAATTGAAGAAACAGAAAGATATGGTTAAAAAAGAAGCATTTGCCACTGTGCCTCTTAGTGATATTAAAGCATTTAGCCAAGCTTTTAAGCCAGATTTTGACTTGTTTGGCTATGATCCAATGCCAGCTTACATATTTAATCGCAGTAGTTCAGAGCCACAAGAGCCAACTCGTTTCTTTAATTACACACATCTTAATTAATACATATACTAGCAATGGGCCTAATAATCGTTTATAATCGGCTTATACCGTCATATTAATGGATTTGTTTTTATTTAACAATAACAAATTATGACTGTATTTCTATGAAATAAACTAGCACATATTTTTTAAGATCTCAGTAGGCATGGTCAATGGTTTTATTGGTTTGAATTATTGATATGTTAAACCAGTCTCATTTTTGATACATGACTAGCTTTTTAAGGATTTCGGACCTTAAATGAACGTGTTTACGAGCTGCCGTATTGGTATTTTATCAAATGATGACGTCATAGAGAAAACGTTACCTAACGTGATGAAATGTACAAACTAAAAGGAACTGCTACAAAATGGCGAAAGCAATATTAGTCGATATTGACCAATATTTTTTTTTTTTGGGGGGGGGGGATATAATTTTTATTATGAAGTTAAAATAACGTCTGATTTTGCAGCAATGCGGGTTTTATAGTTGAATTATACAAGCAACGCTCATGTTGTGATAGGCGTGTCGTTGTTGGTCTTTAACTATATACTCGCCAACCTACCTCAGACTTTTTCATGAAGAATTGTGAAAAATAATATCATTGTTATAGTAACAAGATTGTAATGATATGTGTTATGAAAATGTAATTGGTAAGAAATCCTTCATTCCTCATCATGCGTTGTGACATAGAAATATGTGTTGTATCCCTTATTACATGACTTATATTTTTACTATATTATAACAATAATTGCATAATGAATTATAATGCCAGGACTGATCATCTAATGTAGTCCGATGGTATTGTTTAAATTACACTATGTTATTTATGTATATATAAGACAAACAAAATTATACAGATATTTTTATTGTTTGATATAGGATAATGTATTTAAATTGTTTATGTTATTATAGAAGTTTTATATATTTATTTCTTTTTGTAAATACTGTTCTTTGAACAGTGTTTTTAAAGTCCCTGATTATTTTTTTAGTTAGTTTGTTTAGACTGTAGTCTGTCCTATTCAAACTGAATTCCAACTGTGCTAGAGTTAAAGTAAAAAAAAACACCACTGAAAACATTAATTTAGTTGTTTTTAAATGTTTAGATTGTTGTTAAATCCGAGATATACTGTATGGTCATGTTTATAGAAAATCATACAAAGGTACATGCATATCACATAATCATCCGGTAGTATCTTTGAGCCTGTTTCATAACAAAAATTGTTTATACAATGTATTTCACTTTTTTCATGCTAAGTAAACTCGTATTCCTGTAATATTCTCCTCCTTCCCCTCCTCCTTCTCCTCCTCCGCCTTCTTCTTCTTCATCATCATCATCATCATCTTCTTCTTCCTCTTCTTTTTCTTCTTCTTTTTCATCATCATAATCTTCTTCTTCGAGAGAGAGCAAACAATGTTGGCCCAACATTTCCTTAGATTCGTACTTACACTAAATTTGTTCACATAACTTCCCAATGTCTATGTTATATAACCATAATTATAACCATTAAGTATGATTTATATTTCACACGTATAGTATAAAGGCACCTTTGTCGATAAAAACCATCTAACAAAATATGTCATTTGATCTTAACTTTTTTATGATTTTATGAAACTAGACCAGGAAAAAAGAATCCACGAAAAAGTTATTATTTTCTGAACTCGTTTCATTAAAGTTTATATTAAATGACAACTTATGTCAGATTCTATGAATATAATATAATTTGTTGTTGTTTTGTCCTCTTATTCAGATAATCCCCTTAGAAAAGTCAATCTTCGTGTGTCTGTTGTTTTTTAAGTACTACCATGTTTTTCATGACAAATATTACTGAAACATGCTCATTTACTTTTTCGTCTCTGTCATTAAATATTTAACAATTGAAACTTTGTCTATTATCTCTTCTCCAACGTGAAACATGTAATACATTATTTAAGATTAGTAAAAGACCATGTAGACTTTATTAATAGAATAGCTTAGTTTCACCTGCGTTGGTTTTGGCGTAATACATATTTCGGTAATGTTCTGCGTGCGTTACCGTATTCAATATCACATCATAGTCTATATTATCCCCCCTGGCAAAATTAAAACAATAGAGCCTTTATCTACCTTGGTACGATTAGAACGGCCAAAATCCTTGCCAACGGCAATCTTAAGTAATAAGCGCGGCATAAGTATTTCATTTATTTTCCGTTTCTGTCCGGTATAGACTAACACGATTTTCAATTTTACTGATTGGGACTAAATTGTTTGTGTGTATCAGCTGAGATGCTTTAGAAATGTTATCTTCAAACGAATCGTCTATTTTGTACTGCAATGACAAAATTTCAACACTGACCTTGCAACGTGTTTATTTGTTTTATAGTAAAATATTGCAGACGTGATTTTTCATTTAAATTTACATATATAAAGGTATATACGTTATTAACAAAATATATCGGCTTATATATTTTAAGAAACCGTATTGATCTTGAATTAGGTCGCAGCATATAAAGAACAAATCAAATAAGAATTAATCGGATTGACCTACACTTCAGCTATATGAGATATAAATGCTACATTTCATCAAAACAAAACCAAGCTATTTAAGACACTGAGAAACATTCACGAATAATCTCCCTTGCGTTACTTCAGAATTGTCGCTACAAGTGTGTTCAGGATTGAGCTGGTGACCATAATTCATAAAATGTATTTAAATGTATTTAGGATGTTGCAGAAACAACAGTTTACTGTAAAAATGTACAACTTCCTTGTCAAAGTACACAGTATAGATTTATTTATCTTATTTCTTGTAATAAATCGTTGATGCGGAATATTTAACACAAATATTAAAGGTATACCGAAAACGTTAGTGTCTTTGCGCTCATAAGAACGGGTATGGCATGCGAATTTATCTAAGCTCGAGTCTAGCTTTGGTGTTTTCAAAATCCACAAAACATTTCATACTCTAAACTAAGTTTAAACTTAAACGATTTACTTATCAAGAGTAAAAGTGTAAAAATATGAGAACTAAAGCAGTTGCTATTGACAGTATTTGAATTATAACAAAAATCGGCTTACTATTAAATTGATAAGGAACAAATGATATATATTTCATATACATGTAATTATAACACTCGGCAATTAAAATTGATGAAATGTAATCTACCTTTTCTGTTATACATTGAATTTTAACATAGGAGAACATCACGTTGAAATGCCTTTGTCCATACCTGCCGAAATTACGAAGCTGGTGTTCAAAAGAAAAGCTATAACTATACATTGTGCTTTATTCGGCAGTGTTTTGTAATGTATTGTCATGCATTGTTTAAAGTTAGATAAAAAAAAGAATCAATTAAATTTTCAATACGGGCTGATATTTTTTGTGTATTTTTCTTTAAGGTAAGTTTTGCCACAAAATAAAGCAGTCAGGGAGCTAATATTGATTACACGGTACAACACAGATTTTATTATACGGTACAACACATATTTATTTTATTATACGGTACAACACAGATTTTATTATACGGTACAACAAAGAATTTATTATACGGTACAACACAGATTTTGCTGACAGCTGTTGAAATATTGAAGGCCGTATAATTCAGTAGTATTACTTTAATCCGTAAAAGTTGACCACTTTTCCTCTACTTATAGACATTTAGTTAAAAAAATTAGACTTCCCAATAAACTGGTATTTGATAACCATATTGTCATCATAATATGCCATACAACAACAACAATAAAAACAACAACAACAACAACAACAACACACACACACGCACGCAACAACAACAAAACAAAAACAACGACAATATATCATTATGCTATATAGTGCACAACAAGATGGGTGATACAACATTTAAAAACTATGAATTAAAGAAGAAAAACTGGTTTCTTATTGGTATGATATGAGAGTATATTTATTTCTTAATATGTACGTTTTTAAAGTTAATTTCAACACACTTTAGCCGGCCCACTTTACCGGCTTTCCAGGAAAACTAACCACAGTATTTTTTCCCAAATGAAATATAAATAAATAAAGTCTTTTATGATACTGTGAAAGAAGAAAATGTCTTACTTCCGATGAACTGCAGACAGAAATGTGGTTCACCAAGGTTGTCATTGTCAAAAGACATTTTTTTCTAAAAAGTTTTCCAACATAATTTTTATCTACGTATAGTTAGATTAGTTGAAAAGTCAATCAATAGAGGAACGTACTTTTCTTTGTTGATGCTATAAAGAGGAATTCATTTTTTGCACAAGTCTTAAGACAAAAACGATATACTTTTAAGTTTATTTGAAAGTTTACAAAAATAGTTGTTAAGTTATAATGAGAATGCGTGTGTTCTGCTTCCATAAATATCCCTAGTCGTTTAAGTTTACGAATATTTATTCTGATGGCAATTAATTGTTTTAATTTTATACTTCTGAAGGGTATCATCAGGTTCATTAAGTTATTGGCGTATATGCAAATAATATATTATTATCGTCATTTATATACGCCGGAAAAATTCGGCATATATTATTATGCCTCTGGTCGTACGTTCGTTTCTCTGTCCGTCCATCCGTCATTCCGTCTGTTAGCAGTTTTCGTGGTGTTCGTGTTAGTAGTTCTCACTCTGAATCACGACTGTAAGCCATATTGAATTTACCAGAGTACAGTTGAGCCACCGCATCGTTCCAGGGCAGGCTATCAAGCAGTTTACCAGTAGTAGATACCTTCAATTTCGCAAGGTACTGAAACTTCTGTACATACCAGAGCAGAGGTAAAGTGCGAATGACCGTAGAAAAGATTCCATGATCAATCACAACGAAAGTGACCTGCACTGTCTGGGAATCAACCCCGGGTCGCCAATTTCACAGTCCAACGCTTTACCTATTGAGTAGTATTCGTATCCAGTCTGTATCCTTTGAACAGATGGGAGAAAATTGAAATACTTCAATAAATATTGATATTTAATGCTACATGCTCCAAATCACTTTGCGGTTACTTTTACAACATTTACAACATAAACCACAGAATCTGATGGATATTCATCTACGGAATGGCAGCCGTCCACGAACCGAAACCTCTTTTTTGAGGAAAAAAAAACGTGTGTCCGTAACACGGAGAACTTTCGACCTGTCAACGCTGGCATTGAGGCATGAGTTCATGCGCCCAACCCCAGCACCGCCAGATATAAAGAACGCCTGGCTGAGCGATTTGAATCGTCCATTCCTCCGAATATAGGATCTAC